CCATGTCCCAGTCCCTGAGTCTGAACTGTGGGAAATGAGGCCAGATGTTAAGTGAAAAGTCGGCATCAGCTCCCGCCCCCCCCCAACACCCCACCTCTACACACACCCCTAAACCTCTCTGTTTGGGGGAGTGTTTTTTATTTATTTTATTTTTTAAGACGCCCCTCTCCTCAAGCAGGAATTTGAACAAAAGAACTACATTTCCCAGTAGCACCTTACACAGGTGTTGTGTTGTTAGCTAATTGGGCAGTTCTCACTTCCTGGAGCTCCTGGGAGTTGTAGTTCAAATGACAAAGAGGCTTATAAACCACCCGGTTAGGTAATTCCAGTAGGTTTTTATCCAAGGCTGGGAAACCTTTGGTCTTAGGGCAGCGGTTCTCAACCTGTGGGTCGCGACCCCTTTGTGGCGGCCGAACGGCCCTTTCACAGGGGTCGCCTCAGACCATCCAGCATATCAGATATTTACATGACGATTCATAACAGTAGCAACATGACAGTTATGAAGTAGCAACGGAAATAATTTTATGGTTGGGTCACAACATGAGGAACTGTATTTAAAGGGCCAGCAGGTTGAGAACCACTGGTCTTAGGGCATTTGGTACTTGGAACTTGAGAAATTTCCTCAAGGCCAGCGTCCTGATTTATGACCGGAATCCTCCCACTAGGAACCGGCACGTCACTATCTCTGGGACAGACTGTGCCAGGCTCCTGTGTGGCAGGTCCCCACCCAGTGACTTAGACCTCTGCCCAGAGAAATCTCTGCAGAGACAGAAGGGCACCCTTTCCCTCATTCATTCCACACATTTCTTTTTAAATATATTTTATTGATTATTTTTACAGAGAGGAAGGGAGAGGGATAGAGAGTTAGAAACATCCATGAGAGAGAAACATGGATCAGCTGCCTCCTGCACACCTCCCACTGGGGATGTGCCTGCAACCAAGGTACATGCCCTCGACCGGAATCGAACCTGGGACCCTTCAGTCCGTAGGCCGACGCTCTATCCCCTGAGCCAACCCGGTTAGGGCTCCACACGTTTCTTGAGCATCTTCTATGAGCCAAGCACAGCCCTAACACAAGCCCAGTCCCGTCGCAGGCCAGCCAAGCTCGCTGGGCTCCTGCGAGTGGACAGGAGGGGTGATGGCCATTGAGGTGAGATGTGAAGTTCGGGGCGGAACCTCAGATTCCAGGCAGAGGGAGCAGCCTGGGCAGAAGAAGTCAGTGTGGCTGGAGCTGACTGAGCAAGGGAGGGGACGGGATGAGGCAGGTCCCACGGGGCCTTGTGGGCCATGATAGAGAATGTCTTTACACGGAGACTAGTGGAAAGCACCGAATGTTATAAACATCAACAACAACGGGTGGATGGGGAAACTGAGGCACAGAGGGATTAAGGAACTTGTTCAGGGACTAAGATTGCCAGACTTGGCGAGTACAAGCACAGGACACTGAGGCATCAGGGCAGTCCTACCTAACAAGATTTCAACCCACCGTGTGTGGCTGAAAAATGGTCCCCAAAGACGTCCCCTCCCTAATCCCTTGAACCTGGGAATATATCACCTCCTGCGGCAAAAGGGTGTCCCCGGGTGTGACTGAGTTGGCATCTTGAGATGGAAGCGTTATTCTGGGTCATGTAGGTGATCCCAGGGTCCCTCTAAGACAGTGGTTCTCAACCTTCCTCATGCTGCGACCCTTTCATACAGTTCCTCATGTTGTGGTGACCCCCAACCATAAAATTATTTTCGTTGCTCCTTCCTAACTGTAATTTGCTACTGTTACGAATCGTCATGTAAATATCTCATATGCAGGATGTATTTTCATTGTGACAAATTGAACATAATGAAAGCATAGTGATTAACCACAAAAACAATATGTAATTATATATGTGTTTTCCGATGGTCTTAGGCGACCCCTGTGAAAGGGTCGTTCGACCCCCAAAGGGGTCGTGACCCACAGGTTGAGAACCGCTGCTCTAAGAGGAAGGCAGGAAGGGCAGCGTCAGAGGATGTGATGGTGTGAGATGTCAGAGTGAGCAGGGCCATGGGCGAAGGAGTGCAGGCAGCCCATGGGAGCGGGGAAAAAACAAGGAAATGCTCTCCCCTGGGGCCTGGGGAACCCGCTGAGCCCCGCCAACCCATGTTGCACTCTGACCTCCAGACACTGAGAGAATAAGCTGTGTGTTGCTCTAAGCCACTTACTTTGTGATACTTTGTTTTAGCAACAGTAGGAAAGAGTGCACCCACAGTGGCATAGCTGGGGGATTCGCTCACCTTGTATTAAGCACCTACTGTGTGCTCCTCAGCTGATGTAGTGAGAGCCAGAGCAGGCGAGTGTCTTCTGCATCCTTATCATCGGGCCAGGCTGTGTGTCTCATTTTCTTTTCTGCGCAGCTCTGAGCAGTGGGGCCAGAAGCCCAGAGCTCCAGTCTGTCTTGTTCACTTGCTGTATCCCCTAGAGCAGCACCTGCCACGTGGTAGGGGCTCAGTGGATGCTAATTGAATGAATGAATGAATGAATGAATGAACTCTGCTCGCCGACAAGTACCAGTGTGTCTGCTGGGTAAGCCCCACCCTGTGAGCGGTGTTGGGCTTGTGTTTGCCCTTGTGACACATTTTGTCTCCACGACAGACCTGGGCAGAGGTGAGAGCTGTGGCCTGGAGGTCAGCAGGTTCCTGGGTTACAGAGCAGATGGGGGTTAGGGCCTGTCTGCTGGCTGCAGAGCCTTGATCCAGGGGGCGAGCCCCCAGCTCCAAGTGGGGGCTCTCTAGGTCCCTCCGCAGATGCCTCGGGGAGCCGGGTCTGGGCCCCCCCTTTAGGCGGGGACTGAGCTGCTCTGTTCCTCTTTGTCTCCGCAGGACACAGGTCTGTACTATCACCGCTACCTCCAGGAGGTCATTAACGTGCTGGAGACGGACGGGCACTTCCGAGAGAAGCTGCAGGCCGCCAACGCCGAGGATATCAAGGTGCGGCCGGGCGCGAGGGGCAGGAGGGGACACGGGCTCAGAGGCAGAGTTTTGGGAAGGACCGGGTTCCTTAAAGGGGCCACGTGGCTCCAGATCTCGCAAGGGGAGAAATCGCTTCTCCAGGTCACACACCTGGGAAGGGACTTGGGGAAGACAGAGTGTGTGGTTAAGCCCCGGGGCAGATGTCGCAGGCTCCCAGCCTCAGCTCTGCCACGTATCAGCTATGTGACCACCCCTTGCTGTGCCTCAGTTTCCCCATCTGTAAAATGGGGTATCACAGAACCTGCCCCCGGGGTTCCAGGGTGGATGGTCCCAGGTCAGACTTGCACAGGGTTTGGACAGCCACATGGCGTCCTTAGCGTGTGCGCGCGCTCAGCACTGAGCACAGCGCTTTCTGCCTGAGAAGGATCAGCCCTGAGGATCTCCATCTCACAGAAGAGAATGCTGAGGTCCTGAGCGCAGGCTTTGTCCTTCTGTGGGCCCGGCTCACCCCCTGAGCCCAAAGCCCACGCCCTGTCCCATCCCCCTGGCAGCGCCCCAAGTCCCTGCCCCGCTCCGTCTCCCCATCCCACCACACACACTCCTCCCTGGGTGCTGTCAGAATGTCCCTTCTGCCCGGCCGGTGTGGCTCAGTGGTTGAGCGTCGAACTATGAACCAGGAGGTCACGGTTGGATTTCCAGTCAGGGCACATGCCCGGGTTGCGGGCTTGATCCCAGGTGTGGGCGTGCAGGAGGCAGCCGATCAGTGATTCCCTCTCATCACTGATGTTTCTCGCTCCCTCTCCCTTCTCTCAGTAATCAATAAAAATATATATATTTTTTAAATGTCCCTTCTAGAGGAGACATCCCAAGTTCTCCAAAACCTGGGCCCAGGAGAGGCCCCAGGACCTGGAA